AGGGGAACATTGCTGTCTAAAAGTGTTCCACTATTTGAAGTAATCCACTGTTGTTATTTGTAATGCTGAAAAAGTAACTTCTTGCATTCTTGCATGCAAGAAATCCTCTTCCCTTTTACCTTCTGTATCCCATACTCCAACCAAAGTTATCCAAATAATAAAAATAATAATTAAAAATAAAGTCAGGACCTAGTGTTTAGTTCCCACTCACCTCCTGGCTGAATTACTTGCTCGCTGCTTAGAAACCTGCCTTAGAAGTCTCCCCACCCACCCGTCCATCATGGTTAATTGCAGCTGCCAGTAGAGCACAAAAGCTTACTAGGTTGTGAACAAGAAGTTCATCACATTATATAACGTGGATGAGGGTGAGACGTTCACCACAGCGAGACCAAAAATCCTGTTAGACCAGCTATGTGTCAGTTTCTCATTTCTTGATCGCCCCAAATGCGGCGAAAGAGATCTGAGTGTGCAAAGACTGGTTCCACCAAAATGAAGACCACACGGGGTGAGGGCCAGACAATCGTAACAGGGCAACTGCGGTTCCTGCATAAAGTGCAGATGATCATTTTGTATATATAAATGATGTGGAGATGGAATACTTCCCCTTGTCTCCTATAATTGAATTCCAGCCCAGTTACCACTAAAAAAATTGTTTCTAGCCTAGGAGGAAAAGCCTTTGTAGTGAGGGAAACAAAATAAGAAAATGGTAATGTTTATGAAAAGCAAGCTTTGTTCTCACTATATCTAATTTTCCCCTAGAATAATGTGAAGTTGCAGATTCTCTCTGTGGTACCTTGTAAGGCTCTTGTGGGACATGGAATTGTGTGGCAACGAAAAATGGACTGTTAGCCTGCTAGAGACAGCCTAGGAAAAAGGTCCCTGGTGTTAACCCTTACTGATAAGTTGGATCCCTCTGGTTACAGACCTTTGGTTTCCGTTGTCCTTTGTACTATGTTAAACCATACAGTTTGAGGAATAATATGGGAAATGGTCCAGGACTGGGATAGTTAGATTCATATTGTATATAAGCCAATGGGAATCAGTTCAGCGCACACACTCCCCAATCCATACTTTTTTCCTCTGCTACTTGCACTTCTACTTTCTTTGCAAGTGAATTCTTTTGCATCAGTCAGACAGTGTGAGCATTAAATAGTGCAATGCTCAGGTATGAATAAAAGAAGAAGAAAACCCTGCTATTCTAGAAAACGAAGTGATAGCTGCTCTGAAAGCACTGGGAAGAAATAAGTCAGCAGGAGTAGATGAGATACCAATAGAACTACTTCTAGCCACAGAGACTGAAACTGGAAAATCCTAACAAGAATATGCCAACAAAATATGAAAAACAAAACAATGGCCCAAAGACTACAAACGTTCAATACACATTCTAGTCCCCAAGAATGGAGATGCCAAAGACTTCAGTAACTACAGAACCATTGATCTAATTTTCCATGCAAGCAAAGAGATGCTCAAGGTGTTGTAACAAAGGCTTCTACCTTCTACCTTATTTGGTTCGATAAATACCTGATGTTCAAGCTGGAGTCTAAAAAGCCACTCCAACAACAGATGATTGAATGAGTCACATCAACCACATCCTCTGCAGCATGTTGCTGGCTGAATACTATTAAATCTGCGTAATTTAACAGGGGTTAAATATCATTGATATATTATCTTTAATGCATTTTCACAGAACTAGGCAGAAGTTGATTTAAAAGGGAACACTGACCAAATATTTTCCCAATCAGAATCCAAGACTGAAGAATTAAGATCCATTTCCCATATCATTTTTAATCCCTTTATTTTTCTATGCATTTATTCCAATAGCCATTCATATATTTTGTAATGCCTGTCCTCTAGTTGTATTGGCAGATGAAACACAAAGTTCTTCATTTGGCCTTAGTGGTCTTGGTGGTCCCTGAATGTGCATAACTTGCTTAAGTAAACTTTGCACCTTGAACTATAGACACCAAATAGAATTGCCACCTTGAAGTGTATCTGGAGGGCATCACTACAGATTGGTGATTTATTGTCAAAGATAGCTCACGTTCTAAAGACACTAGGTCTCCAGGTTTTATATTGGTTGATCTTCTCTTCAGAATAGAATTGTGGATGATTCAGGAATGGACAAAGAGAGGAGTAGGCAAATAGTTTGACCGGGTGCTTCTGTGCATTATACGTAGCACCTAGGAAAGGATTTTCCAATTGAATAATGTGAAAAATCTGAGATTTAAATGGTGAGGGAGAATATTGTGTCTGATTTGGATCTCCACTCTCCATGTTGACCCATGATGTTGAATTAGCCTCTCCAGTTATCTGAACTAATTGCTTTAACTGAAAAGTTTGAGAGGGACTAATCAGTCTACCAGTCTTCCTCTAGATGCTGAAGTGTAAATAACTGCTTTAGAAAATCTGTTTCCCCCCCCAGTCACAAAATTCTCAGATTACCTTTGCCATTTGTGAATCAAATATAGTCGGACTCTAGGTATTGTTTGGGATAAAAATCAAAATTTGGTAGAATAAACATTTTAACAATTCCTATTCTGACAAGTAGTGACTGCCTAAGATCTTTCCATTTTTCCATTTTAATTTTAACTTAGTTATCTAATATTTTATAAGTTTTATAAGTTTTCAAAGTAGTTGATTTATATCCGCAGTCAAAATTACACCTATATATTTAGCCTGGAAAATGTAGTTGAACATACTGTGAATGTCAGGCTATAGAAGAAGTGGTATGTTTATACATAGAAGTTTGGATCTAGCATAATTAATTTTAGTCCTGTATAAGTTTGAAATAAGCTACATGTAGCTGGATAGCTCAGTGGTTGAGGTATATAGATGTGAGCCAAAGGCTGGGAGTCCAATTCTCCACTGTGTCTCCTGGAAGAGCCAGCCTGTGTGGCTTTGGGCCAGCTGTACAGTCCCAGAGCACACCCAGGAGAATGGAATGGTACACTACATCTGTGTCTTGTTTACCTAGAAAACCCTGGAAAAAATTGACTTAATGGGCACAATTATTATTATCTATAAGTTTGATATAGGTCAAACAAATATTTCAGGATGATCACAGCCCTTTCTGGATTAGAAGGGAAGAGGAGAATAGATTAATCAAATGTGTTTCGCCATTCATCTTCAATGTCTGATTTTATTTGTATAAATTCTACGAGAAGTCTGACTGTGAAAGTAAATAGGTGAGAGGAAGGAAAATGGCGAGGGGCACATCCCTTCCTTGTTCCTCTATCCATTGTACTTGGAGTAGAGTCATATCCAGTAATATTAATACAGTGGTGCCTCGCATAGCGATCGCTCCATTTAGCAACGAAATAGCTTTGCGATGGACTTTTTGGGATCGCAAAAGTGATCACTTTGTGATGTTCCCTATAGGGTATTTTTGATCGCAGGGAAGCGATCATCACAAAGCCCCCATTTTCACACAGCTGATCGGCTGTTTCAAAATGGGCGCCGGGAAAAAACATGGCCGCCCGCTGTTTTTTGGGACGGATTCCTCGCTTTAGAGGCACCAAAAATGGCGGTGCTATGGAGGATCTTCGCTCAACTGTGAGTTTTAAGCCCATAGGAACGCATTAATCGCGTTTTAATGCGTTTCTATGGGCTTTTTTATTATGCTTTGCGATGAAATCGCTTAGCAGCGATTTTTTCTGAATGAATTAACATCGCTAAGCGAGGCACCACTGTAAATGCTTGAGAGTTGGTTTCCAAATCTAAATATAAGGGATACAAAAGCAGATCCAAAATTAAGCTTGGCCAACAGTTTAAACAAATATTGTCATTCAGTGTGGTCAAACATCTTTAAAGCATGAACTGCTAATAATATTATGTTGTTGGTTTTTTTTGTGTAGATGATAATGGTGGATTATATTAAGTGCCCTTCTAATAGTATTGGTAGGTTGACTACCAGACATAAAGCCTGTTTGGTCTTTGGAGATAGATATAACAAAACTATTAATTCTTTTTCTTATGATTGGCATGAAGCTCTTAAGGTCCTGCTTCAGCTATGAGATAAGTCTATAGGCAGTCAATTGGGCAGGATCCCCTCCTGATTTTACAACTGTCACAATCCTGGCTTGTGACCTACTGGTTGGTATAGTTCCCCCAGACAGTACATCAGTGAATAAAGATATAAGATGTAATATCAAATCAGTATTAAATTTTTTTATAGAATTCTGCTGGGAGTCCATCTGTTCCTGGAGATTTATCAGTTTTTATTTTTTTAATTACCTCTCTGATTTTTTCTCCAGCTGTAACTTATTGGTTAAGGAGGTCTCTATGCACACCATTAAGTGGACATAATTTTAAAGATTCAATGAAAATTGGCCATTTTTACCATGATTTAACTCAGATATATATAGAAATCTTGGAAGCTTATTAATATCTAGAGCAGACATTCTCAACATGTTTTGGCCACGGTCATAACCCCAATGTGAAAGAAATTGAGGCCAAATCAGGACTATGTTAAGTTGCACAATGAACCTAATAAGTTGATGTTGAAGAATTGTTTCCAGTCTGTGGCCCCTTTCAAATGTGCTAGGACTCTCCAGGAGGCCATACAGCCCCTGTTGAGAATGGCTGATGTATTTACATTTACATTTATTTACATTTTTATCCCACTCAACTAGCCTGCCTCTTTCAGATTTTACTGCAGTTATTTCATTTTTACTCATTCTCTGTTTGACCACTCTGGCTAAAATCCTTGAGTTTTTATTATTGAATTCATAGTACTGACATGTTGTGAATTCAAAGCAAATCCTTTTACATTTTCCCCTCTGTGTAGTCACCCCTCAGTTTCTTCCTGAGGGAGAATGTCTGGTTTTAGTGGAAACCAGAAAATACAAGTGAATCCCTACTTGCAATACTGTGACGGCCATCAAATCCTGAAGACACACATATGAACCAGCTCGTAGTAATACTGACACCATCGAATAGGAGGTTTCTGTGGGATTCGGGAGATGGAGCTAAGCCTTCTGGCTGGGCAGCTGTTCACTCACCAGAGTCTCTTCCTCAGTCAGCCCCGCCTCGGCCGCAATGAGGCAAAGGGTGGCAGGGTCAGGGTGCTTGTTCACTTTGTTGAAGTTATACTCCAGGATTTCCAGTTGTTCCTCTGTTGGGCTGACAGTCTTTTCAGCGGACATCTTCCTGTTACACAAGTTTTCCGGCTTTTTCTTTGCCCACTTTGCCCAAGGGAGCTGGTGAGAAAGAGGTGAAGACAGTGGATTTAGGCTCCGTACAAAGTTTATTGGCCGGTGACTCTCTTGCTTATCACTGACTGTCGAATTCCTGAAAAAGGTTTCAACTTTGTAACTCAGTGTTTAAATGCGAAATGCTGAAATGGGAATTTGGGTTTTGAACACTAAATTCTCTTTCATAAAATCCAAAGTCAAGAGTGTTACAGATGAATTGACAACTCTTGATTTTGTTTTTGGCAAGTGTCCAGCAGGGATTCTCATAAGCTGACAATTGTTAAAATGTTGAGAGCCATGATATGTCAATGATCAAATATAGTCAATTTTTAGATGTCATTTAATGTCTCAGTAAAATATTGTCAGATGCCAGATACGCTTAGATGACAACTGCCCAGATCCATCACACTTCAGCTGTTAAATATCAGCCAGAATCCTATTGCATATAATCACTGGTATAAGCACAATGGCATAAATCACAGCATCAAATTCGCACTAGTTGAGAAGTAGACACTTGTGTTCTCTGTCACGTAAGAGTTGTGTGACTTGGTAAGTGATGAGGAATATAAGCAGTGCCTCTTGAACTAGAGGCAATTTGCTGCTGTGATTTACACCACTGAAGTTATGTGGGTTTATGTAAACAATAGGATACTGATCAGTAATTAACTGTATGTACAACTAGATGCAAACACAATGTACAAATATTCTGTGGATACTCATCAAATAGTGGACATTCATTAAAATTAGCCCACCTGGAATTTTGCATAGGATTGCTGGAGTGAATTTTTCGCTACCCTGCTTTTAACACCAGAAGAACATTGCTCTCTACACACAATGGCAGAGAACTAAGAAATTTTAAAGGGATTTTCAACCTGCTTTACACAGTTGCTGTCCTCCCACTTTTCAGTTTTTCCCTTCAGTGTATTTGGCAATTATCTGAGATGCTTTTCACCCAAAGTCCCCTGAAGGTTTGTGAAACCATAGGTAGATATTATTGTGTTGTGTAATAGAGGTATATACTTGCTGTACCAGCATTCCAAAAATAGGAACAGTGATGTGGAAAGGGTTAAAAAAAGAAGGAAATTGTTTTTCTTAAGGTTATCAGAGGAACAAGCCATAAAAAGAAATCGATTATGTATTCTGTGTCCAAAGTCATCTAAAACCACTGGCTCTGTGGCAATATTATTAGGCTATTAGAGACAGTGCTACCAAAATAACACTACAGAAACTTTTTGTACCCTTGAAAAGTGATTCTCCCTGTGTCACAAACCAAGCATCCTGTAGCATAACTATGGGCAGAAACAAATCATGTGCTTCTTTGAAGCATCTCAGAATACTCATACCCAATTGTGCCACACACCACGACATACAGATAGATAGACATGGATGCAGCAAGTCCCAACCTGGGTCCTAGTGGTTCTACTGCAGGGGGAAAGACTCCAAACTGCAGCATTAACGGTATGTGGGGACAGCTTCTAGACAAATTCAGGACAAGAGATTTGTGTGAAGACTCTTTCTTGTCTTCCCTGCTCCATTTCTGTGGATTCTATAATCCTCTGCATCTAGATTTTCCTTGTCCTTCAACATGGTGGAAACTCAGGAAGCAAAAATTAATGTCACTTCTGTGTACCATTGTTTGAGTGACACCAGAGGCCTGTCTTCCACTTCTTCTGGGAACATGTATAAGTGAGCATCGCCACCTCCCAATATTTTGCTCAAGATCAGGGAAGATTCATAGTGCACCAAAATGAAGGGAATGAGAGAAGAATCCATCCATGGAAATCTACAATCAAATGAATAACTAGCAAAGGGTCCACCAAATAAATGCTGGGCATTTGAACGGAAATATAGCTGTGAAGATTTGCCACTTATTTACTGAATGGGTATTGACAGGCACTGCTGGATATCCTTGTCCATTCTTTGCCCTATGTGTGAAGGTCTTTTCAAGCATGTCTGTATTTGCCATTTGGTTCCTGTAATTGAGGCCTCAATCACACATAAGAAAAGAACCCTGGTTATACCGATTCTTTTCATACTGCTGTTGTACTGATACATTTTTTTTCAGTGGTCAGGTGGGAGCGTTCACATTGTTTTTAACTGCATCAATTCATTTACAGTATGTCTTTTTGAACCCTTATAGCAGGCTACACTGCTCTTTAGTTTTGTATCAGTTCATTTTCTCTACTGTTTCTTCGGGCAACTGGGGGGGCCCTTCTTGTCCTTTAAAAAAAACCTACAAAAGTGTTATATCAATAGAGCAATAAAGCAGGACCTGTCTCCTCTCCTCCTCCCCTTTTCCTTTCCCTCCTTTACTCACTCATCCGCTTTTCCTTATTTCCCTACATCTCTCTCCCTCTCAGTTCTTGGCTTTCATTTCTCTTTTCCCTGTTGAACAGTATCAGGAGGAGGATGTGTATTGTGAAGACCAGGGTTTTAGAAAGAGAGAGAAGGTAGACATTAATGCTACAACCCTTTCTTTACCATTCAAAGCAGGAAATGTTTCCCTCCTTCTTTCACCCACATGGGATGTGGGGGGAGGTTGTCTTCTTTGAGCTGTCTCCTTCTGAGCAATGTATTCCTGTTGTTAGCAAAAAACAAGCAGCTTACCAATATTTCTTTTAAAAAATATTAATAAAGGGGCCAGGGTACAAGCGCAGTGACCATGAAGTGGCCAGAAACCCAACTCCTTTGCAAAGGAAATAAAATGACAGCAACATTCATACACACTGAAATAACGAAGCAATACATCATCCATACAATTTAAAAACCACCCTCCTGTTGAGGGGAAATAAACACTCGCTAGAGCAAATGAATCAATGTTGCCTGTGCATCATGTGAATGGAAAATTATGGAACAATCTAAAAAATAGCCAAATCGGTATAACTCAGGTTGTTCTGGCAGGGGTGATCGTGGTCTGAAATGGGTGTTTTAAAGCATGAAACTCAAGCTTTGCATAATAAAACTGATGCAAATTAGGATACTGAAGGAGAGCAATGTCCTTTCTACACCTACAGGTGTCTCTTCCAATTCTCCATCTAAAAGGCAGACTTCTGTAATTTTGCTACCCATCAGGCAGCGATCGCTAGTGACCTGCTAACAATGACCAATTGACCAGGCGCTACTGAGGACGGAGCATCACAGTACACTGGGTTTATTCACTCAAAGCTGTTTGGGGATTGCTCTGTCCCAGTTTTGAATAGAAACTTAATCCTAGCCTAACCTCTCTTCCAGGAACACAGCTTTGTTGCTTGCTCTTCTCTCTTGCCGCCAACACAGTGTTTCTCCCGCTAGCCTTTGGCTCACAATGCATCTTGGGGAAAGAATAGCTGTACTCAGGCCCCCCCACTTCAAGGAAGAATAGACCATGTGCGTCTCTGCATATTAATTTGCTGAATTGTGTCTTCCAAAGCAGGGCAACAGGACAGCAGGGCATGCAAGTATTAGCACAGTGTTTTCTTCTAGTGTAACAGAAGTAGAGATTTGCCTAATGAGGAAGGGGTGGATGACAGAGGGGGCACTGTAGCAATAAGAGACAAGAAACAAGAGGCCTATGTTTTTTCTTCAATATATTGGGCTGATCTGGGTGGACCTCAGACCGTTCTTGTGTGTTTTTTTCCATTTGACTATTCTTTGGCTGAAATCCTGTTGCGCAGCTCCGCATGCACAATGAAGATGGCAGCATGATCAGTGGCAAATTGTTACTGAATAAAGGCAGATCAAGACTGATTAAAGGCTATTTCATGGTGTATATAACTCGTACACAATGCAATGGTGCTCCATAAACCCCCAAAGCACCAAAGGAAGCCTTTAATCAGGGATGATTTGCCAATGCTGATGACATCATCACTACTGTGCACATGGAGCTGTGCAACAGGATTTCAGTCAGCATTTGTTCACTTGTTATTCAATAGGGATGTAAATCCTTGTTTGTCAAATCCTCGTAGGGAGGAAAAGGACCTGTAATATTCTTCTCTTTACTGATGAGATGTATAAGGAATTTCCTGGTATTTTTGAAAGCATTTTCACATCGGAAGGACAAATGTTCTGTGCAAAATCGTTCATTCTTGCTCATTACTCTATACTTCCTCATTATAGCCATTTTTGCACAAATCATACAAATTGCTCATTTACTCAAATGGCACTTAATGGCCCCAAACTAAGAAGACTGCTGTTTTGTTGAAGAATCTGAAGTCCTGGACGTGTTGTTTACAGTTTTCTTAACAACCAGCCAATCTTCCTATGTGTTCTCTGTCTGTCTGTCTGTCTGTCTGTCTGTCTGTCTGTCTGTCTCTCTCTCTCTCTCTCTCTCTCTGTGGGTGGGTGGGTGGTGCACTTTGCTTCTGAAAGGGAAAGGATACTAGAGACAGTTTGGGAAAATCAGAGAGATGTTCAAGGGCAAAGAATAAGCTCTTCGGTTGTAGGCAAGGAATTCCTCCAGGCTAAATGGCCTTTAAAGGGACATCCACAGTCCAGGTTTCTGCAGCTCATTCTCAAATTGCCTCCCAGGCTTTTCCATAGGTGTTGACCTGCTTAGCTAAGAGGTAGTCAGGGATGAGACAATAGGCAGTTGCTCACCTAAGAGGGAAGCACCTGGCTTTTACTGTAGGAGGAGACCAACAGGAAAGGGAACGAATCTTAAGATTCACCTTGTTAAAGTGGCAACAGCCACACACATCGACTTCTTAGGAAAGGTGGAGTTTAGGTGTGGGAGTACAGAGGACATCTATTTGCATTCCCAGCACACTGTCTTCTCCGAGCATGCACCTGTCCTATACTGCGAATGCCCGACACCAGCCTCTCCAGGCGTGCAAACCAACACATGGACAGACAAACCATTAGCAAACCAAAACGCAACTTCTTCCTGCACTGTGCGCCCAACATTTCTGTCTAAATTTCGTTTGGCCTGATCAGTAGAAACGTGATTATTCAAACCAGGTAGCTTCAAAATAGCTGACGATCTTAAGTGGAAATCGGAATAACAAAGCAAGTTGAGACAGTAGGAGGCAATTCCTATCAACGGTGTGGACAGAGTGACCACTCTAAGTTGCAGCATCCATTTAAGAGAGAGCACAGGGACATCTCTCTCTTCCTCTCTCCCCACACACACACACCCATACCCATACCCACACGGGTGTGTTAGAACAAGTGGAGTTAGCACTCAGGGCAGAAATATATCTCTGTCAACCTACTTATTCTACAAAGTGAAGGTTCAAAGAAGACATCTGAGCAAGCATGCCACCCTTGTCCTGCGTTTGCTGAGATAATGGGAAAATGCAGGAGCTGAGGAGATATTCAAGATAATAGTGCACCACAGAAAAAAGAAATACTCAATTGCTACCAAGCCCTTTGCAAATGCTTTCCTCAAGAGTATCCCCTACCACATAAAAAGCATATATAGTATTTAATAAATCCATTTCTAGGAGTGCTCTCTCCCACAGTGAAAATTATATAACTGTGAAAACACATTAAAAGGAGGATCTTATACATCATTTGGGTTATTTCTAGATTGAAAATAAGAGCTTCATATGTATCTACAATTTTGGAATCATGCATAACAAAGTAAATCTTATTTCTGAAAATAATTTTTTTTGCAAGATCACTAAACATGTTTTCCCCCTAAAATAAGTTTTACCTATCACTTCCACTTTGGAGTTCTAGCTAAGGAAAACGGCCTCTTAAAAATGGCAAAGAAGCAATGGGGTTAAGTTCCCCTCTCCTATCCTTTGATTTGTTGAAGTTGTACTGGCAAATTTGCACACTACCTATAGTTTGTGTGACTGGGAGGGACTTTTCTGTGCTGAGGTAATTATCTGCCCAGCGCTAACTGATCATTTCTTCCATTCTTTGAATGCAAAGAAAGTCCCACCTCTCTGCTGAGTCCTTTTTCCTTCTCTTTCCTGAGTTGTGGCAGCTGTTTGTTTGCTGAGGATCTGTTCAGTTGGTTGCTCAGTATGTGTGCAGTGAAGAAAGCAGCATGCACAAATCTGTAATTTCTAGTAACTATAAGAAATGTTTTTATTCTTTTTCCTACAAATATCTCAGAGTGAGTTACTGGGATTTTAAATGCCAGTTAATGAGAAGGGAATGGACTTTGGAGAACTTGCAGCTATTCTCCCCTGCAAGTCTCTTTTACTGCATAGCAAAAGGGAATTTTACTTGAAGCCTTCACATTACGTCATTGCAACCAAGAAAAAACATCTCCCATACACTCACACCCTATATTTAGTTCTGTCCTGAATGACAATATTACTATGAACAAATAAACAGGTTTGCCCTTTCAGGTGTGAATCTCAAAGGAACAAATCTATTTGCATTTTTTTTTAAAAAAGTGGTTCTTCAACTCACAGTGAAACATACACTGATGACTTGGCAGACAATTGTCACCACCATAAACACTCTTGTAATAATTTAATCCTGACTGCTACTGGGAGGGGGGCCTTACAACCTAGCTGAACGACTTGCCTCACCTTCAACTGACATAGAACAAGGGCCCTGGCACATTGGTGTGGGCAGAGGCTGGAAGTGCTGGAACAGGACATCTGATACCCGATCTTCTAAATTAGGCCCACTTAGACAGCCTTGCAAAACCACACTGGCCACCTTTCTGCCTCTATGAGGTTTCTCTCTACAGTTACTTTTTGCGCTGGCAGCCTAGGGAACAGCAGCTGGGGCATCAAACAAACATCGTTTTATCCAAAGGCTTAGTTGAACCCCGGCAGGTATTTGGTCGGTTGTTGTGTTGCAGATACAATGGCCAGCTTCTCATGTCACCAGGAAGAAAGAGACGCCCGTGGTGCTCGTTTGTCTTTCTCCCTCCCTCAGAATCCAATGGTCTGAATAATGCATGCTCCTCTGAAGTCCACCACCCTACTGCTGTGTTTGGCGCCCTTTCCACTGGGCTGCAAGGATCCTGCGGCCTCCCTCACATCAGTCAAATGGCTATTCTTAGCCTCTGTTTATTTCCTCCTCCTTCCACCCTCCGCAGGACAAATGGTCGTCAAGTGCTGCCCTTACAAACAAAAGCGGAGAGAATCTTTATAGGGAAACACCTCTGTTTCCTTCACAGGGGATCACTTGGTACTGAAATACTGTAGTGTTAGTCTTTACTCTGTGCTCTGAAAGCACACGGGGGATACTGGCAAGAAAAACAAGCAGTGGCTTTTTTAAAAAAAAAAAAGCAATGAACAAACAACATCAATCAGAATGTCTCAACCCACTCTTTTTCGATCAGTGGTCCCTGGACTTGGACACTCGGATATCAGATGTCAGCTCCCAGAGGCCTCAGCCATCATGCCCCATAGTAAGGGATTTGGGGACTTGTAGTCAAAGAACATACGAAGACCAACAAGTGGGAAACCCTGCTTCTGATGGATGCACCAACCGACACAGGTCTCTCTCTGTCCACTGAGCTGGACGGGACCGATTCCCAATTCCTGCTGTCACTAAAGCTGGTTTAAGATGTTGGACTATCGAAGAGGCGTTTTAGGTATTTCAGTTTGGGCAGCTGGAGAAACAGGTCTGAATTTTGCAGTTGGCTGACAGGTTGTGTTGGAAGGGAATTACGTGGCCTCCAGATTAGTTTTGCTATTCAGGACATGACCCTGCTTCCCCCTGTTCTGTCTGTACACTGGGAATGAACAAATTTTCACAAGAGGTGCAATAATTTTCACTACACTTGTCTTATTACAAGGATGCCTCAGAAACTTCAGGTTAGTGTGTTTCAGACTAGGCGAGTATCCAATATGACACTGTGACACTGATATAAATATTCACATATACTTAGCGTCTTAGAACTGCAGAGCTGGAAGAGACGCCCCCCCCTCCGGATCATTGAGTCCAGCCTCTGTTAAGGAGACAGCGTGGGGAACTGAATTCCCAACATCTGCCTCCATAGCCAGATGCCTAAACTACTGAGCTATCCAGCAGTTCTGTTTGAACATCTTACAATTTTTTCCGTTCTGCCCCTTGGATTTTGAGTGGGTAAAACTCACATTTCAACTTCGAGTGTTCAATTTGAAATCAGAGTACTTTGGACTTGCTAACAAATCTTCACTGTTTTGCCGGCATCAAATATGAATTACCTCGCATAGCCGGCAATGAAATATTAAATACCATCTCGTGTCAACGATCAAATGCTACTATTCAATAGCAGGCACCATTACATGGGTGACTATCCCAAAGAACTACTGAAATATATTGGAATAACCATCACCAATCAGTCATGTTCGTACAAGTACACCTTTAGAAAACACCCACTGAAATATATCTTACCTTTTCCCTCCCTCTGGTCTCCCCCTTGTCTCTTCTCATCAAAATTTAGATTCCCTTTCCGGCTTGTTTTCTGCCTCCATCGGAGAAGTGTGAAGACAGTAAAAGTTCACCTTGGGATTTAGGCCCCATCAATGTACAGTATTTTGATCAATCTGGCACTTACCTGGTAAGTAACTGGATCTTCTTTAAGTAGTTGATGTTCCAGCCAAACGTTTAAGTATGAGTGCAGGCGGTTACCTCAAATGGCACCTTTAGGCTGTGTGTGTGTGTGTGTGTGTGTGTCTGTGTGTGTGTGTGTGTGTGTGAGAGAGAGAGAGGGAGAGAGAGAGAGAGAGAGAGAGAGAGAGAGGCAGGTGTGTGACAGGCAGGTGTGTGACTTGAAAAACTTGCAGCACAGGCAGGCTGAAACCCACAGCAACTGCTTAGTAGTTCAGTCGCTCTCCCTGCCGGCAATTCAGGTTTGGCAGTCCACTTGCTTCTGCGGTGAAGAAGATGTGGGAGGGGGGGAGAAGTCTCCCAATCTATCTGCTAAACTCTTCTGGTTTGCAATTCCCCTTCTGGTCTCATAAAACAAAGCGGATTCCTTACGAGCAGGCGAAAGAGTGAGAGAACACAGAGGGTGCAGATTCTTGGCTCCCTTCACTAGGCTTGGCGCATAATGGGGAGAGGCAGCCAGAGAAAGACAGAGAGGGAGAGAGGCGAGATGCTGCAGTCCTTCCAAGAAAACCCTCTTGCCAAAGTAAGTTTCGTGAGCTCTGCTGGGCTATTGCCATTGCAAGTGTCATTCTACCAGTTGCCTAATTAACCACAAAGTTGCTTCCCCTTGGGGATGAATTATGCATGCGCCGGAAGAGAAAAGGGAGGGAGGTGCTGGTTGCAACTTCAGCTCCTCCACCAAAGCCTTTCGCCCCATCAGTGCCCACGCCCTGAACATCTGAGCAGAATACATCCTTGGACGTTTGGGGAAAAATGCAGCCACATGTTGAGCAGAGGAAGACACGTGCGGTGGTGACTTACCTGGGTTGGAACTCAAGGAATGCACTGACTTGTGGGAGGAAAGGGCCACTCCCTTGACAGGATGGCATGAAGTACCTGAAGCAGGAGCAGTGGGGAAAGTCAACTGTTGTGGCCAACTATGGTGCGATGAATGTGCCACCAAACGGTTGCTTAGTACAGATGATTCCCTTCAGTGGCGCAACAACCATAGTGGCATCAAAGAAGGACATGCATCATCCAAAAGGAGGGCAGAAGAGGACATCAGTTTGCATAGAACTGAATATGCTGCATGGTATAGAGAGAGGCAAAATTAGAAACGACCAGGTGTACCCATTGGCTTTGTTGCCCAGGTGTTGTTAACTGTAGAAGGGCAACTTCAGGGTTCCTGATCTCCCTCCTTATGGTTCTTCCTCTTTAAATCAGATTTGGACTGCACAAGTCTTCAGGTAGAGGACATCTCTAAAAAGCTGGCTCTTAAATGAATTACTATCTGCCCTACATGTGGCCATCTTAACAATGACCAAGATCTGAGGGATGGTGGATAACAGCTATTGCTCATGTGGTTCATATTCACGGGTATTTTTGTAACATATGTCTTTGCTATTCCAAATCATGGATCACGTAACTCCTCTGTTATAGCAGCTCCACTGGCTTCCGACCCATTTCCAGGCACAATTCAAAGGGCTGCTTTTAACCTATAAAGCCCTGAAGAGCCTGGGTCCAAGCTGTCTCAAGGACTGTGCCTCCCTTTATGAGCCTGTTGAATATTAAGATCATTTAGAGGAGGCCTTTCTCTCAGCCCCATCACCTTCACAGGTGTATTTGGTGAGGACACAGGAGAACGCCTTCTCTGCCACCGTTCCCAGATTCAGGAACTCCCTCCCACAGGAAAAACCTTCTCTGCCACCGTTCCCGGATTCAGCAACTCCCACAGGAGCCTGGGGTGCCCCATCTTTGCTGTCTTTCCAGAAACAGACAAAGATCTTTCTAAATGGGTCGTTGTGCCTTACTGCTTTGAATGTGTGTTTGGAAATGATTTTGTTTACTGTTTTAGTGTAGGTTTTAAATTTTTTAAAATTTTTTTGTATACTTACTATTTTTAGCTTTTAAATATTGTCCGTTTATGATGCAAGATGCCTTGGGTCCTTTTAAATTATTGTTTTTTAAATAAATAGTAAAGGTAAAGGTTCCCCTTGACATTTAGTCCAGTCTTGTCTGACTCTAGGGGGTGGTGCTCATCTCCGTTTCCAAGCCGTAGAGCCAGCGTTCGTCCGAAGAGTTTCTGTGGTCACATGGCCAGCGCGACTAGACACTGATTGCTGTTACCTTCCCAACGTAGTGGTATCTATTTATCTACTCGTATTTTTACATGCTTTTGAACTGCTAGCTTGGCAGGAGCTGAGACAAGCGATGGGAGCTCACTCCGTCACGTGGATTCGATCTTGCGACTGCAGGTCTCCTGACCTTGCAGCACAGAGGCTTCTGCAGTTTAACCCACAGCGCCACCATGTCCCTTTTAAAATAAATAAATAATGCTAAAACATTATGTTGGTCTGGTGAGGGTTAGATGCTCAGGGACGTAGGAGTATTCCAGAGGCAATGTTTGTTTCACATCAAGGACCAGGTTGTGCACTGACCTTACTGGAAACTTCCAAGTATTCGGATGATGTTTCATTTCTCCTGCCCTGTGTCCCCCTGCAAATTTTTCCATCTCTCTGTCCCTGTCAAATCCACATTACTTCTCCTGTCCAAGAGGGCCGTGGGGCTCCCAATAAGCAATGATGTCCACAGTGGGAATGACTTGATTTGAAACGTTTTTCAGATGAGTGTTTTTTCAGATTAGCGCTATGCCATCACTCTGGAGAGAAAAGAGAGGGAAGAAGTGAAAGCACCCTACAAGGGGGAGGGAGGTGGCAGGTGACAAAGGGAAAGAAGAGTGGGAGAGAAGATGCAGAAACATAAAAGATGGAGGAATTGGGCACAAAGCAAAGGGTGGCATTTCTGAAAGGCCCCTAACTTTATCAAATTAATATGAAAAGCCACTCGTGTCTGGCTGACTGTTCTGCAGCTGTGCAGCAAATGATTTCTTTAAAGAATGACACAGCTTTACCATTACAGTTGTTCTTGGACCAGCTACACTGCTCTTATCCAATCCCTGGCAGCCAAGTGGAGTCAGGATATTTTAGAAGCAAAAGCAAAAGTATGCAGTAAAATGTCAGGGAAATGTTAAACTCTCTTTTGCCAGCCTCCAAAAAATCCTTCTCCACTGAGAGCTGACTCTGGGGGCTGAAGAGATTCCGAGACTGTTTTAACAGACTGCCCTGGCCTGACGCCTGCTCTTTATTAATGCACATTTCACTTTATCCCATTTTGTTCCCAACCAGTGAGTCCCTGCTTTGCCAATGTTTCCAGTACAACTGCCACCGACTACTACTTAAAGGTTACTGGGGTTTGGCCTGGAGATTGTGTATATATTTTTAATAGTGAAAGCAGCTATAAATCTTGGCTAGATATGTGAAGTTGCTTTTTAGCACCGCAGGTCCCAAAATAGATCAGCCTTTTTGGTGTGTTTTTCAGAACCTGGTAAAGTTTTTTTTTTCCCCTCAGCTAGAATTCTGAGAGAGCCCCTCACCTACGTGGCACTAACGATGCGGTTAGGAAATCCTGGGAGTTCTGGTCCAAAAAAGTAATTTTTCCAACTCTTTATTTAGAGGCATTGATAGGAGCATCCAAGCAGATAGCCTCACTAGGCAAGACACCAATGAATATTTAAATCCAAGGTGCTGACTCTAGAAGCAGTGCACATTTAGGAGGATATAGATGTTGATTTAAGGGGAGAGATCATGTAAGTAATACAATACAAGTATCTGTTTCCTGGGGCTGGGGAATGCTCATTCTCTGGACCTTCTGAAGATCTTGAGGGTCAACTTCCTAGAAGTCACTCCAGGTCAGCAATGGCAAGTAGCTGGATGCCTCTCAGAGCTTACTAGAAGTCTTCTGGTGGAGCGTCCCAAGAGTCAAAGGAAGCACCTCATGAAATGACAAAGCTCACAACACGGGGATTAAGGTCTTTTTGAGGAACATCCGTGCCAAAGAAAGAAAGAAAGAAAGAAAGAAAGAAAGAAAGAAAGAAAGAAAGAAAGAAAGAAAGAAAGAAAGAAAGAAAGAAAGAAAGAAAGAAAGAACAATTGGAAACAACAAAGAATTCTGTGGCACCCTAATGGCTAGCAAGTTTCATTTGGCACAAACATTTGTGCCCGCTTCGTCAGGTGTATGCATGAAGTAGGCTACCGTTCCATGAAAACTCAGACCAAATTAAACCTGTCAGTCTTCCAGGTCTTTAAGGTGCCAAAAAGGCTGCAATAGGCTAACACATACTAATATAGGGTATTATTATAATATTGCCTGTTTTTAATGGTTTTAATGTTTTTAAAAGTTTTTATTTTGTTTTACGTTGCTCAGGGACCATTGGTAATGGCGCAGCTAAAAAAAAATCTTGTGAATAATTTATTTATTTATTGAGCTTATATGCCACCCATTTAGACATAGTCTACTCTGGGCGGCTCACAAACACATAATAAAAACGATTATTTATATAT